TGTGTAATAGTTTTCTATAAATATGCATATATACCAATGAAGATAATATTTTCATCTAAATAACTATATGTTACACCCATCTATCCAAAATTTAGCATTTTATTATTTAATTTACTTTTGCAAGCCATTATTTTTTTACTTTAATTATAAAGGTTTATGAAAAAAATATGTAATACATTTTATATACGGTATTGTTGTATCTTTGGAATATAAAAATTGAGTTATATATCTTTTTAGTCTAAAATACTTCCAATTATTTTTATTTTTCTTATTCGTTTAGTAAAAAGTTATCAATGAAGGTTTTTTGAAAAAAACAATGTTCAACAAATAGAGCAACCCGTTCATCTAAAATATCAATAAATTTGGACATTTTGTTGGCATTTTAACCCATTCTACCACATTCAGAGACCAATTTAATGGAAGTAAGGCTGATTTAATAGAAGCACCGCATCAACTTTTTAAAGTAGATTTTAACATTTTGACTGGTCAAAACACTAAACACTATTTTACAGTGTTCAGTAATACAACGTTTGAACTAGCTTTTAAAAGTTAAATAGCATTTTATAAGAAGTTAATCATATAAGTTTAGTTTTTAGCGTTTTACGAAATACTACCCAAATAGCTAAATGCTATTAAAACAATTAACACAGCCAAAACAGTTAATTTTACTGAATAAACCCTAAATATGACCCCAAAAATCATCAGGTGTATCCATATCTACTTTATTTCATATAAATGAAGGAAGGAGAGTTATATTTCCACAGTCCTATCACTCTTTTTTCACTGGTTAGATAGGAAACACATAACTCACATATCCGTATTGAGGCGATAGCAGACAATGCACGAACTCTTTTATAAAATTATGATAATGTTTCTGTGGGTTATATAAGGCAACATGCCTTTACACTCTATTTGTTAGAACTACAACTAAATATTGCAATTGTGGTTAGATCACCTTAAGGTTTGTTCAGTTTACCAATTGCAGTTGGTTGTTGACAACTAATAGTTAGTTGTTAGCGGTTAGGAAGACTACTTGTGATTGAAAGCTCAAACATAAATAGTTAAAGATATCAACTTTCAATATATCAATTATATAATTGGATTTTATCTATTATAAGATTGAAACTATATAAGAATGACCTTATTAGCCACTATATTGAAATAATTGTAATTTTTAAATGGAGTAAATTTAATTCTAATTTCTAAATCACCAACCTGCTGAAAGCTAAAACATCAAACATTAGTTTCCAACTGCTTATTCAAAATGGATTCTGAATTTATATATAAAAGTTAAATAGGCTAAAATGTTGTATTGATTTTCTTTACAAATAATAAAAAATATTTATTAGCTATTGAAAAATGTTCATATTTATAACTTGAATTAACTTGATATCTACTTTAATTTATTGTTATTAAAGGAAAGAATCAAAATTAAAAACTCGCATCCATTTTAATGGTCCACAGTAAATTTGGCTAATCTCCGCTCACCGTTAGAGGTAAAGGGGTTGACCCGGAGGAGTTTGCATTGTGGAGATTAAATCTATGACCTAAATTATAGTGATCAAATTCACAAGTGCTCTTTGCCACTGAACTACCTCATTTGAGTTATTATTTTATATATATTATTGTTTCTAATAATTTGTCTTCGTTTTATCAGCAGCTATACTACTTCAACTTTATATAACGATAGACAAAGACCTGTGTGTTCACATGATTTCACTATTAGAAGCATGCCTTTCTTTAATTAATTATATTTTTCTTCGTTTTATAATTAGTCTCTTAATTACTGGCTCAAAACCTGACAAATACACAAAACTAAACACAGAATCTAACAGAATTATTCTTTACATTTTTTTACGAGAAATGTTTGTCCTGTTAACTTCAAGAATACATGCATGTAATACCTGTCTTCTGTTTTCTTTCATCTGTTCCTTTTCTTCACCATGAACTAAGATTGGTTTATAAAATAATACAATAATCGTCTTTATTTTCTTAACTTTTCTATAAAAACTCCAAGATTCTATGCCCATTTTAATCAAGAACCATTCAACTCTCTCTTTATAGATATTTTCCATTTCCCTACCTTAAAAAAAATATGTCAAGCAAGCTCTTATTATTAGCCACAGTTTTAGTTGAGCTCTCCCTAGCACAAAATTCTCCTCAAGACTATGTAGATGCACATAATTCAGTTCGTGCACAAGTAGGAGTTCCTCCAATCACTTGGAACAGAACAGTGGCTGCTTATGCTCAAGAATATGCAAATTCAAGAATTGAAAATTGCGAATTCGAGCATTCATATGGACCCTATGGGGAAAACATTGCAGAAGGTTATGGTAATCTAAACGGCGTGGATGCGGTGACGATGTGGGTTAGTGAGAAGCCTAATTATGACCATAAATCCAATTCTTGTGTCGGTGATGAGTGCTTTCACTATACTCAGGTTGTTTGGGCGTAGCTCAGTCCATCTTGGTTGTGGTAGGGCTAAATGCAAGAATGGGTGGTGGTTTGTTACTTGCAATTACGATCCTGTAGGAAATATTGAAGGCAAACGTCCTTATTGAATTCATAGTTGCTAATAATAATATATAAGTTGAATTACATAATACTTGTTTTTTTTTTTTTTTCTAATTGTAACCTATTCTTGAATAACTTTAGATGAATCAATCACGATGAAAAATCAAAGTCACAAGCTTCTTGTTGCACCTAATTTATTTTATCTTCATATTATATGCATTTTGTTCAGCTATATGTTGAGAATAGGATTGAAAGCATATACAGTTGAGATATTGGAGTAAAATTAATACTTGCATTTAAAGAACATTGAAATGTAGCGATCAGTTCAGTCTTTTAATTTTCTTAATATTTTTTTTTATTTCTATACTATATATAAATGTGGAAATAGAGGGAATAATGAGATTTCCGATATCGCTCTTACTGAAATTTCAAATATCCTAAAATAGTTTTAGTCGTAGCTAATTCGAAAATTACATATTATACCAATGTGTATATATTCCTTTCTCTAATGCATTGGGTAAGTAATACTATTACTATAGCCAAAGTAATAACCATTATCAATTTAGATCATCTGCTCATTTCTTTTCTTTACTAAATAGTAAAAAAATATATATATTATTTTTCATTATAGTTGTATATAAAAATTGATTTAGGGTTGAGGGCAGGAGGTTGGAGATTGAGGGATGACTTGATTTTCTTTTTGGACACTTATTAAGGATTTAAGAATCTGTATTTATAAATTAGGGACTAAATAATTAGATCTAGAAATTGGGTTGAATTTTATTTTGAAACCACTTCATTATAAATAAAATAAAATTAAATATAGAAGAAGTACAATTACAAGTGGTTTGTATGACAAAGTCTAGTCAAATCAAGCAATTGTATTTATTTTGATCTAAACAAAACTTATAGATGAAAAAATATATATATATATGATGAGCACAGTTAACGTGCAAAGCATGTTATAAAAAAAACTAGTAAATAACAAAAATGCTAAGTTACGAAATAAATTACAAATCAATTTTTTTTCCATTTTTAATAACTCTTTTTAGTACTATTGATACTATTTAGTTTGTTATTCAATTATTAGAATAAAGTCTAATTTAGTCTCTTGACTTGTCCCTTGAAAATTAAAAGGTCAGATTTGAACTTTGTGTTCAAATTGCACAATAACTATCTCAATTCAACCCAAGGCTTTTACGACATCACAGAATTAACAAATTTTGTATTGATACGGAACTCCATTTGAGCGACACTTCATTATCTCAATTTATTATAATATTGGTTACTTATTAAATAGGTCTTTTATTTTCTTACTCACCTTTTATATTTTTTTAAATAATTTCTTTTTATCTTTAAAAGCACATATAAGTCTAAAGTTTCTTCTTCATTCAAATATATATATAATAACATTGCGATTCGTATAAATATTAAAAATTAGATCGTCAAATACCATAGAATTATATCATCTCCCATGAAAATATATAAAATCAATTACACTTTAAAGATAGATGATTAAAAAAATTAGATTTACATATCATAGAATATTATGGTTTAGGACTTTTAGTAAAATATGTGGATTATATTATATATATATATAATATATATATATATATATTTATTTAGTTAAAAAAATTATATTTTTAAAAGTTAATTAAAAATTTAAATTATGCCAAATTTTCATAAATCCAAATAAATTGGCATTATAAAAAATAAAAGAAAGCCAAATTAATTGTTGTTAAATTTTAATAAATTTATTTTTAAGTTTATGAATGAAAGATCTTGAAGTTTGAATTGTTTTTTACTGATTTATAAAGGTTTAAATGAATTTTATTAGATGTAAAAAATTAATATTTAAAAATTCAATCTAATACATGGTTTAAAAAAAAATTGTATATGGTTACTTGAAACTTTTAATTTGTTTTTATAATTTTTTATTCTGCTTATTTTTATTAAAAATAATTGGACAGATTTTAATAAATTTATTTTAAAGTATGAATGAAGATCTTGAAGTTTGAATTGTTTTTACTGTTTAAAAGGTTTAAATGAAATTTTATTAGATGTAAAAAATTAATATTTAAATAATTCAAATCTAATACATGGTAAAAAAAAATTGTATATGGGTACTGAAACTTTTAATTTGTTTTTATAATTTTATTCTTCTTATTTTATTAAAAATAATTGACAGAGTAAATGTCTTTTTGAATTCAAAATAATAATTATAAATAAATGTAAGTTAATTTTTATTTCTAAAAAAATAAATACAACTATTTTCAAGGTAAAAAACTTAATTTAATTTTTTTAACCCTACGATTTATATTTAATCGTGTTAATCTAACGACGAATAAATGCTTTTGTACGAATACAGAAAATTTTAATTCTCAACCCAAATCACTCCATCTTCGTGCGACTCTCAAAATCAATGTAATGCTAGTTAATTAGTAAAACGGTAATAAGAGTTTTTTATAGTTTTCTAACTTAAAAAACAAACCCGGGTCATCGGTGTCTCTCCTATGTTGCTCCACCTGTACTTTTTGAGCAAACTCAACCAACGTCAGTATTCTGCATTTGGATCTCGCAATTCGCTCGGTCGAATTTCGGAGAACATTCCGCAGCGCAACTCTGCAGTTCTCTGTCTCGAAAAGGCACCCTTGGCCGCGAGGTTAGTCGGCGGACCCTCCTTCCACTTTCATGATTCTGCACTTAGATCGAGCGCGATCTGAATCTGATTCAAGTCTTTGAATCTGATTCAAGTCTTTGAATCTGATTCAAGTCTTTGAATCTGAGATCGATTGCGCTGAGCAAACGAAAAAATAAGTTCTCCTTTCTTTAAGATTGAATTCATAGTTATTTTTATTTAAAAGTTGTTTTCCTATTATAATTTTGTTTCGTTTTCTGATCTTATTTGTTATTGATAGTAATTTTCTTGATTTGAATGCGGCCGAGACTGTAATTTTACTGAGATATATATTTTATATGAAAATGCAATTTGTATCTAAAATTTCCGAGGATATTGATATTGTCAATTTTTGCTTGTTTTAAATTTTTTAAATAGAGAAGAACAATTGGAGTTTTCATTTGTTATGTTGAGTTGCTCTTGCCTTCATTGTGTTAAAAGGGAATTTATCTGGTGGTAAAGGAGTAACACTAACTGGTTCTAGGACTGGTTCGGTTGGGTTCAGGATTGGGGATACCTTAACTTAACATTTAAATGGCTTCGGGTTCGGGAACATGTATGGCTTTTTCATGGGTACCTGACCCGTTGCCATCCCTACTTCAGATCTCTTATTGATTTCACCGCCTCTTCTTAAAAAATTCAGCTTCAGGTAGCTATATCAGTCTATCACTAAAAGTAATCAACAACTTTTATATTATCTACTAATAATCGAGTGAGAAAGTCAAAGAAATGGCGGTTGTTGCAGTTCACCAGTTTGCCCAGTCCATTACTTGCCATGCTTGGAGTCCCGATAAATCTAGTAAGTTCTATGAGTAATTTAGATTCTGTTTGGTTTCATGGAAAATGTAAGGAGAAAAAAATGAAATTTTCAAATATTGTTTTGATTACGCATTCATTTGGATCATTATTATGTCTTGCTCGAATAAAGATCTGTATTTCTTTTATTGTCTTTGAACCTTTTGTACATTCATCATTTACCTTAGCTTGGACATTGTTCTTTTCTCTACGTGGTGAATTTTCAGTGATTGCACTTTGTCCCAATAATAATGAAGTCCACATTTTTAAGTCATCACAGGACAAGTGGGAGAGGGTGCATGTACTCCAAAAGGTACTTTGCTTCCTCAATGTATTGATTTTTTGTGTATATTAGGTAATTGAAGTTGTCCCTGTTAACTAGTAATTAATTAATTAATTAAGTAATTAATTACTATTTTTCTTTTTCTTTTGGACGGGAGGAAAGAGAAGAAGATAGGGATAGGGGATAGAATCATTATACTATTATGGTCAACCATGTTGAATTATTTATCCTACTTTGTCCTATTAAATAAATTTTCTTGGGCGGATAGAAGGAATTGAACCCGCATCTTTTCCTTGGCAAAGAGAAGTTTTACCACTCGACTATATTTATTTTCTTTTTTTATATTTATTATATTATATTATATTTTTTTTGAATTTCGAAGTCCATTCTCTTTCGAATTCTAGATAATCTAATTATATTAGAATTTAATTCTATTATTTATATTATTAATATTATATATTACTTTATAAATATTAAATTAATAATATTATGTTATTAATAACTGAGTTGTGGGAACAACTTCATAGTTTGAATTGTCATATTAACTCCAGGTGTTAGATAGCTGCCTACTACCTTGTGTAGAAGATATATTGGAAAAAATAATTTCTACTTGATGTCTCCTTTACTTAATGTCAAGCCTTGGTGCACTGACAAGGGTGCTCCAATATCGACTAGAAATTGTTCAAATAATGGAAACATTCTCATTGAATCGCTTGAAGAAAGCTGCATATACCTAATGTCTTTAGAATTCACAATGAGTGAAGCCTTGAGCATTTGGAGACCCTTATCAATCCTTGATCTTCAGTTTGCTGTGTTATTTAGGAAATTTCTGTAATACCTTGATAATCAGAATGTAGTACTTTGTTGTGTGATTGTATTGGTGTAACATGTGAATCAGTATGACAGTATTTTTTTACCTCTTCATTTTTATTCCATTTAGATGAATATTTTGCTTCTGTTTTGTGTTTACTTTCCTTGACAGCCATATAAGTATTATTTCTTGCCTCCATATTTCAACGCCTATTTGCTCTTCTGTTATGTACTTTGTTTCAGATGTTCAGACTTAGTGGTTTATTCCCATTGATTGTCTATGTTTAAGTGACCACTTGTATCTAAATTAGCTTCAAAGTTTTATCTTAACTTTTGACTACTCATTTTTGTCTCAGCATGATCAAATTGTCTCCGGGATAGATTGGAGTGCAAAATCAAATAGAATTGTTACCGCATCTCATGATCGAAATTCGTGAGTTCCTATTTGTTTGATTTCTTTTTCGTTTTTTGCTTTAAGAAAACAAAATTTAGCAGTCTTTTCCGTCCCATTTCCATCTCTTCCTCACTTTCCCACATGCGCTTACACAATCTCACACTAGAAAACAGTGTGTGTATTTCTCAACATTTGTTTCTCTTTGTTCTTCTTATTGTTGACTGAATACCGTTGTTTCCTTTCAAGATATGTCTGGAATCAAGAAAGGGCAGAGTGGGTGCCAACCCTTGTTATTCTCAGGCTAAACCGCGCTGCACTTTGCGTTCAATGGAGTCCAAGAGGTATCATTATATTACTTATTTTCTAATTATGGTCTTCAATTTGCCTTGCCTAAATGGATTTACATTTCATTCTGGCCAACTTCTCTATATATATAACTAGTCAATAACCCTTTCGAACCATTGTGGAGTCTTTGTGTCAATCTTTGATCTTGCTCAGTTGCTTTGAAATGGAGCCCAATTCACGGTCTGTCTTGGAGATAGTTGGTTGCTCAAATCATGAATTTATTAGTGTATCAAAGATGATGGATTATGTATTTATGTTTCATAAATTAAATAATTGGATAATTCGATATGTCTTTGTGTAGTTGATTATTTCTCATTAGTGATCCTAAGATTCGGTTGCACTTTTTTTGGGCGTTTCTAGTGATACATGTGCTTGTTCGTGTGAGTTATTTGCTATAGTGTATATATATATCAAATAGGGTATATGGCTTTATAAGTACTTTATGTTTTCTTAATGCCTGGTTGGCTTTGCTGTAATGTTCTGGACATTGTGACAAAACATAGTAGTCGACCCAACAAGTGTCAGAAAACCAAAAGCTTGGCTCTGTGTTTTGGTTAAACAGGAAGCATTATTACTGTGTACTACTAAGTGGTGGTTGTAGATTATTTATTTATTTGTTTGTGTATTTCTGCACATATAAGTATACTAGGGCATCCAACCCAAGAGATTTGATGTGTAGGTAGAGGTTTATGGCTTTAAAATGCAATGCCAAATTTTTGTTTAAGTAATATGAACTTTCTTTGCAAAACACAAAACTCATGCATACATCTCGAATGGATATTATCCATGCAAATGTATAAAATGGAGTCGACTTCTTGGAAGTAGTTGTATCACTAATAAAACCTAGAGAGACGTAAGCACAAAGATGAGAAAAAAAGAAAAAGAGAATTTTTAAAACTGAAAATGGTAAGTTTTGTTCAACTGTTTCTGCTTGTTGGTTTTATTCATTTGAGGGAAGCTATGGGCATTTGCATGCCTTTCGTGATTTAATGGTCCATTGCTCATTATCAATTAGGGTCATATGTATATTTCATAAACTTGTATTTGTACGCCTATAAAGTTTCCTATATATAGGCTTTAGGATTTGTCTTGCTGATACCTGGTAGTCAAGTTGAATAATAACAGTAGCTTTGATTCTATGGTTTATAGAGTGCTGCCTTTTCTGTTACCATTTGAATCAATGGATTTCTTCTTGCAACTGTACTACAAAGTAATATGCTTTCAAGCGTGATCTTTATTGTTTTTATTTTTTGATTCTATACTCAGAGAATAAGTTTGCTGTTGGAAGTGGGGCTAAAACTGTTTGCATATGCTACTATGAGCAAGACAATAACTGGTAATTCCCTTCTAATTTGCACATTCCGTTTTGGTTCTGCGTTGAGTGCCATTACTACTGTATTTGTTCATCTACTTGGGAAAAAAAGGGTTGTGTTTGAGCTGCATATTTGTCTTGGCTAAATTGGCTTGAATTGGTTATAAACTTAATGCAGTTTGTCTAGGTTACTGCTAAATGGTTTTGGGCTTGACAATTTTGTTTCGGGTAGCTTCCCTGCTTTTAATACTTTCCATGTTAGCTACAACTGGACTCAGCTAGAGTCTAAATGTCACTATATCTTTGGAGTGAGATGTTGATGGAAGTTAGGTAATGTTCTTGTTAGTTGTCTTTTGAGTTATCTACAAGGATTCCTTTTGTTCCACAATCTACTCATTTCTTTCTTTCTCAATGAAGTTCCTGTTCTTATATATAGCTGTATGTGTAATAACTATTATCATTTGTGAGAATATTTACATTGTTGACACCAAGAGCTTGCATTAGATGAATAGATAGTCATCAAACGCCTCAAATTTTGTTCCTATTTTGTTTTGCTATAATTTTGCAAAAGCTTCTTGTCATTTTTGTTTTCCGTCTTCTTAGGTTTTCAAAGTGACATTAACTCATTTTTGACATGCATTAACCATTTTTTTATACACACTTATTATCCTTAGGTAATTTATTGAGAAAAAAAAGAAATACTCATCTTTGTTTATCTTTATTTGCTTAATTATACACTTATACAGGTGGGTCAGTAAACTTATAAGGAAACGACATGATTCCTCTGTGACAAGTGTTGCCTGGCATCCTAATAATGTTAGTACTTCTCTGCTTATATCATTGTTGCAAAGCTGTAAAAAGTTGGTGCATTCATTTAATCTCTATTCAAATTTGTGATATATATGAGGCCAACTTCTCTTAATTACAAAACATGATTGCATACATCATATCTAGTTTTAGCAAAATTCAAATATTTATGTGATAGCTTAAACTAATTGCTCAACATTGTACTGTGTTAGTTTTTTGGAAGAAGTTATAGTGAATTGTGAGAAAAGTGTTCAACATAATGCAAATTTCTAGGAGTTGTTTTAGCAGTAATAGGAGTAGAGTTAGGAATGACAGTTCTTGTTTGCTGGTTGTTTTCATGGCTTGTTGACATGCGAGTAACACACAATTTGGATCAACACGAACATGACACAATAAGCTGATTGTATTAGCAACTTAAGCATAAATATGACCCAATTTATGAACAGGTGCAACATGACATGGTAAACTGTGTAATATTTACTCGGGGCCTAGTACAAACAGGCCTCAGAATCATTTCTTGAAGGAAAATGAATTTTTTAATTGAAAAGAGAAGGGTAGCATTCTCTTTTTATTGAAGTGAGAACATTTCTCTCTTCTTCTCAACTGATGTGGGATTTTATTCATTGTGTTAAGTGTGTCATTAATGGGTTGGTAGGTCAAACACTTAGAAATATTATTTTCTCACAATTGGATCAAGATAACGACATAAATGTGATAGCCCAGGATACAATCCAATGCTAATTTTGTGTTGGAAGTCATCTTGTGTCCAACATGCCACCTCTGAATAGAGTTATGAAGAAAGGTGAATAGAGTAATTCAAAGCAGTGTTCGAATTGGGCTATTTTTGAATGGTTATGTCATCACAAATTAGATTTGTTGATCCCTGAAATAAAATGGAGGAAAGTATTCTTGAAATTGATTCCTCCAACAGATTAATGGATTTTGTGCTTTTCTAAGAAGGTAGAATGGAGCAAGGGGCAGGGAAAGCGGGGAAGTGAGAGAGAGAGAGAGAGAGAGAGATTGATGAATATTACATGTTTCAACATATTACCCCATTGGCTTGGTGGTCAGTGTACCGCTCCATCTTCTCTTATGATTTTTCATAAGTTAAGTAGAGGTTCTTTACCGGTGACCAATTCGAAAGACATTAGAATACTATTAAAATGTATGTAGAATACTCACTAGACAGAGATTGATGAATGTTACATGTTTCAACATATTACCCTTGGAATACTATAGAATACTCACTGTAAGTTATTTTAGTTGTATTAAGTTTTTGTTTAGATTAAAATAAATATAAGTGGTTAATTTATATTACACTTTGCTGTATAAGCTGCTTGTAAACATTATTACTTCTCAAACTAAATTGATAAAACACTTTGCCGTACAAGCTGCTTGTAAACACTATTACTTCTCAAACTGAATTGACAAAAGTAATCATTTTGGCTACAATAGTAGTATTACTTACCCAATGTATTAGAGAAAGGAATGTATGCACATACACACAAATTCTTGAAACCCCGAAAAATGTCAAACAAATTTAGGATATTAGAAAAAAAAAATATTAAGCTTAAAATGATAATAATTACAAATTATTTGGTAACAAAAAAGAAAATAAAAACTAAAAAATAAAAAATTATTATTAAGAATAAAACTCTTCTCAGAACTTACCTGACAAAAAAAGTTCTAATGTATATAGATACATAAATATATCAATAAAATATTATGTATATATATATAATTAAAATTTTAAACTGTTTGCCAATTCCACAAACACATATGTTCATTTTATTTAAAATAATTTTGAAAAGTAAAAATTTAAAAATTTTGAAAGGCTTAATTTTGTGTATTCTATATGAAATTTATTTTTTAAAAAATATACCTAATCAAATTATACAAATATAAAGAAAATATTAATAAAATTAATATACCTTCTTTTTTTTTATCTCTCTCCTAAATAATTTTATGTTTTTAAAATATTTTGAAAAGTAAAAATTTTAAAATTTTGAAAGGCTTAATTTTGTGTATTCTATTATGAAATTTATTTTTTAAAAAATATTACCTAATCAAATTTATACAAAATATAAAGAAAATATTAATAAAAATTAATATACCTTCTTTTTTATCTCTTCTTCCTAAATAAAATTATTATACATATTTCTATTTGAAAATTTATTTTTTAAAAAAATATAATCCAATCAAATCATACAAATATAAAGGAAAAAGAAATATTAGTAAAAGAATTTATTTTTTTATTTTTTAATCTCTTTGAAATAAATATTTTTAAATTATAATTAGAATAGAAATTCAAATATTTAAAAAACCCTTATCATATATATTTATTAAAAATTGATAAATTTATAAAAGATAAAATTTAAAATTTTTAAAAATAAATTTATAAAAGATAAAATTTAAAATTTTGAAATGCTTAATTATCTATATGTATTTATTTAAAAATAATTTTTACAAATATATCCAATCAACTAATAAAACGTAATTTTCTAGCTAGCTATGACTAAGGTTATTTTAGCATATTTTAAATTTCATTAAGGGCACTATCAGAAATCACATTATTCTCTCCTTATTCCCACATTTATATATAGTATGGATAGATGATTATAGTTTTGTCACCTGTTGTATAAATGAGGTTTAACACCAAAATACTTGTGAGAGTGAAAAATTGATTAAAAATTTATCTCTTTTTTTTGTATGAATTAGTTATAAATAATAGCGTTAATCGATAAAAAATCCTGAACTTTTTTTTTTCTTTTTCATTCTACCCTATAATGTTTTAACAATTAAATAAATGAACTCTTATGATTGTATCAATTTTATCCTTTGACCACATTTTTACAAAATCAGTTATGTAAATGCTATTATATCATAGGCAATTTTATTTTTTCCAAAAAAACACAATAGAAAAACATGGCTTCAACCTACAAAAGCAAGAGCAATGAGATTTTTTTCACCTTTTTCAACAACCAATTGGATTCTTTATTTAGATTCTTAATTGTTTTAGTGGTTTACAGAAATAGAATCCATTCTCCCCTTGATTATGTAAGCAAAAGTTATATTTTTTTTCATAATTTTGGAAATGAAAAGATTCTGCTTGATTTAATTGTATTTTGGTCGCTAATTTTACTTGAGTGTGATTGGAGGCTAAAATTGATACATATTAAAAGTCTCTGTTCAATTGCTAAAAATAAAAGAATATGCTAAAATTGAAACATATATCAATGATTTAAAAATCCCCCTTCAAGTTTTTTATTTTTTTTATTTTTTTTATTTTTTCAAAAGGTACTTTAAAATTTTTTGCATTGATATTAATTTGATAAGAGTGAATATGGAAACTATGGATTCATATAGTAAATCCCAACTAGTTTTGGACTAAGGCTTAGTTGTTGTTGTATGCTAAAATTGAAAAAAAAAAAAAAAAAAAAAAAAAAAAAAAAAAGAAAAGCTGAAACTCATAGGGGGGTTAGAGCATCAGATTCGGGGCAAAAAATTGAAAAAAAAAAAAAAAAAGAAAGCTAAACTCATAGGGGGGTTAGAGCATCAGATCGGGCAAGAGATAATGACACTTGTTCATCTAGGATGTAGAGACTTTTGGACTAATGATCTCTACCAATATTCCATTATCATATGATCCTAAAATATGCAATAATTAGGATAAATTTGACAACAATTTAATGCATGAGTGATCTTACCAATAGAGAGTATATTGAAAGAAAACTTAGGTAAACACAAAACTAAGGACAAGGGAAAAGATGGAGTTGGATTAGCAATTCCTGTATCCACAATAGAAGATTAAGATCCATTAGAAGAAGTGGGATTCGATTTAAAAGAAGACAAGTTTAGAATTACCTGTCATATGATCTGAACAAACCTGAATCAATGATCCATTTGGATGAAGAGACAAGACATGTCGTAGGTTTACATGAATCAACAATTGCTGCAATAGAGGAATCAATAGACTTTAAGAGGCTTGATATTGAGAAAAATTTGGAAACAGATTTCTAAACAGATTTCTTAGAAGCTGAGGCCATCTGCAAACTTTTGGTTGCCATATTTCCCCTTGGAACTAGTTGCGGCTTATTCTGTAGTTCCCGACATGTCCATTTTGATGACAATAATAACAAATAATTCCTAAAACAACTTTCTCATGGCGATGATTATTCCCATCACGACTGTTAGAAATTCCTCTATTTCTTCCTCTACTCACTTGTTGACCAAGGTCATTGTGACTCGCCATGGCACTGTTTATTGGTTGATATGACTGAGAATTTTTTGTACGAAGGATTCTAGTAAAAGTATCATGTAAAAAGAAATTCTCAGAATTAGAGAGAATATGAGATTTAGTTGTCTCAAATTCAAAAAGTAAACTAGTAAGAAAACTCATGACTACCTTTTGCTTGCGTTGAGCCTGTTGAACTCTCAAATCAAGACTAAAAGGTAACAACACATTAAGTTCTTCATAAATCCTTTAATATCCATAAAATAAGTAGTAAAAGACCAATCTTGTTTTTCTACTCGATAAAAGGATTTGCAAACATCATAAATGCGAGAAATATTTCTTTTCATGAGAATAAAAAATTGTAACCATTCCATGAATTCCTTGACAAACTTAGTGATTTATTAGGCTAATTACCTCATTGTCAATTAAATTATGAAGCTGTAAGAATAACCGAGTATTTTCTCTAAGATAGATTTGCCTAGTATCATCCTTAGGTGGATCATTTGTCAGATGGTCATCTTTATCCAAGCTTTAGAAATAAAAGCAGATCATTTTGCTCCACTTCAGATAATTAGAATAGTTGAAATAATAGAGAAGGTATGGGAGAGAATTTCTGTATCTCTTGTGTTTCAATGAGATGATATACAATCAATTTATACACAAGCTTCTAAGTCTAAATATGAAAAAGACAAATAAGGCAAGAGCAATATACTCTCCTAAATAGTCTATACAAGGGTACTCCAAATCAAAGGAGTCAACCCTCCCCCTCAAGTTG